GGATGATTTTTCACTGAAGATTACTTTCAAAGCTCTGTCAGATGCTGAGTCAAGGAACCCAACACACACAAAAGCAGAAAGGTTAGCAACTGGATCTAATTCTCAATCCACTCTGACAGAATCCAATTCTAACAGCATATCTTCAGGTTCTACTATAGCATTTAAATATGGTTTTCAAATATACCCCTATAATACATAATCAGTTTTTCCTGGGATCAGTGAAGAACATCATCATGTGCTGAGAAAAATAAAATTCTCAGCAATGGAGCTCTTTTCACTGTAGGTCAGTCTTAGAAACAAATTCTCATTTTACTCTCAATATTAAAAATCTTGATATGCCAAAATAATGGATCAAACTGAGATTCTGATATCAGTAATATACACCATTTGAGCAAACCACTTGAAAACATATGTCAATGGCATAAAGCTGTCATTATCAGATCATCATGAAGAAAGAGTTTTATCTCTTCCCTCATTGCAGATGCTTGTGAACACCTTTCCTCTCACCAACAATTCTCCCTCTATCTCCTATATCAATTTTTTTCCTTTTTATTAGGTCACTCCCATTAGCATAAAAACTATGCCGTTATTCCTTCTTTAAAAAAAACAAACAAACAAAAAAAAAAAAACTCTGCTTTCTCTGATCCCTCTCTTAAACCTCTCCAGTCAGGTTTTTGTTCCCATCAACTCGACCAAAATCAGCCTTGTCAAGATCACCAGTGACCTACCTTCACATTGCAAAATCTCATAGTCAGTTACCAGCCCTCCTCTTACTGAACATCAGCAGTATTTGGCACTGTTGATCACTGCCTCCTCTAGGAAAAACCTTCTCACCTGGGCTCCTGGACACACCACACTCTCACAGCTTCCTTCTTGAGGCACTCTCTTTGCTTCTCCTCAATCCCTTTGTTCCTCTAACCTCAGGAGATTTCTCCTTTTTCCAGGGAAGCTAATCCACATCTTCAGCCATAGCTCTCCCCTGAAATTCAGGACTGTGTATGTCCTCTCTGTCTAACAGACACAGCAGCCTCAAAACTGAAATCTCGATCTTCCCTACCCTCTATTCTCCACTCACAGTCTCAGTTAATGGAAGTTCCATCTTTCCAGTTGCTCAAAACAAAACCTTTCGGGTTCATCCTTGATTCCTCGTACTCTCTGATAATGTACATCCAATCATTCAGATCACTGGTACACCCAGAATATGACCTCTTCCCTCCACTTCCACTCTGGTCCAAGCCACCCACATGTCATTTGAATTATTACAATGGATCTCCTTGCTTTCATCCTCCTCCCCACCTACTCCCAGTCCATATTTTTCACAGAAGCCAGAGTGATCATTTTAAAATACTACCCAATCACAGCACTCCTCTGTTCCAACCCTTCAGTGTCTCCTCATCACACTTGGCCAAAGTCCATACCAGAACCTAAAAGGCCCCATAGCCGGCATTTTGTTTCCTCCATTGCTTTATTTCTCACCCATTCTGTTCCAGGCACACTGGAGCTCAAACATTCCAAGGATACCCTCACATTAGGGGTTTTGCACTGGCTGGTCCCTCTGTCTAGAATATTCTTCCCTCACATATTCTATCCCCTATTAAACATTCAGCCTTTGAGAACTATTTTCTGCTCCACCCTTCTTCTGACCAATTATTCTTATCTTACTATAGTCTTCTTATTTTCCAATAGCACTTACCACCTGTTAACTTAAATTACATATTTGCTATGTTCATTGTTTATTATTTACCTCCTCCCACTAGAATGTAAGCTCCACAAGGGCAATGATGGATTTTATCTGATTAGTTCACCACAATATTCCCAGCACCTGGTAGGTACTCAAAGAATATTTGTTGCAGAAATTAATAAATCCATGGTAAACTGTACTTCTAGCCATTTTCCCAAACTAATACTATACATTTAAAATTATATAAACAATTGATTATTAAAAATGATTCTAAAAAGGTTTGAAGAGCAAGTATGATATGGCCTTTAGATCTGGACATCCCTGATGCATCCCTTAACCTACCAGCTCTGTGACTTTGAGCCTGAGATTTCATTTCCATTTAAGAACAATGGAAATCACATCACTCACCTCTGATTTTTGAAAGGATTAAATGTGATTAGTGTGCAAAATTTCTCAACATAGTGCCTAACATATAATAGTTGTTCATTAAATGTTAGAAGGTCCATCTCCCTTTTTCTCCTTCTTCCTTGATCACAGGAAGAGTTACTTGCTTATTCTGGTAGAGGTTGAGCAGAGCTGAAAAAGGATTTTACTTTACATACTAATCAGTTTGTGGTAGATGCCTAGAGCAACTGGGTTGAGAAGGATTTGATGGCCATGTTCAGATTTATCTAGAACTTGCACCATGATGACATCTAGCTTGGAATTAGGGGGAGAGAGGAAAATGGTGGTATCTAAGCAGAATCTACCATCCTGATTTTAATGGTTTACCCTAGTGCCTCACAGAGAACCCTCTATTTCTCAAAATGCTCGTGTGATTTTTCTAGTGTAACTGTCAAAGGAGCATCAATTGTAGAATTATTTCCGAGATTAAGGAAAGGCTTAAGGAAAGACAGCAGAAAATCTGTATTTCTACAAAAGGCTTATCAAGACAATTGAGATGTTGCTCCATTTTATGGAGTGTGCCTCTTTCCGTATATTTCAGTATACTCGGGGTCTAAAAGCACAGAAGGCTAGCTAATCAGGCTTCACAAATCTCCAACTCCTCAACTAGATTTTGAAGGCCCACATTTACTCTAAGGGAGCTTTTCCCAATGACATAAAGAAAATACCGGCTTTTTTTTTTTTAAAGATCTTCAATCCAGAATAATTTAAGATTAAGTATTTTATTGATTCCAATGGTGTAAGAAATATTAAGAAAAGTGCAGGAGACAGATGTTAACTGAAGAAAAGAACATTAGACATGAATATAATTATTCTCCTAAAATGCTATGTTATTCATCAAGTTGACCTGGCCTAGTAACAGTAGCTTTTGTTTTCATGGCATAGAGAATGTGATAGCTAAATTTTTAAAAATGGGGTGCCTGAGTGGCTCAGTTGGTTAAGCGACTGCCTTCGGCTCAGGTCATGATCCTGGAGTCCCAGGATCGAGTCCCGCATCGGGCTCCCTGCTCAGCAGGGAGTCTGCTTCTCCCTCTGACCCTCCTCCCTCTCATGCTCTCTGTCTCTCATTCTCTCTGTCTCAAATAAATAAATAAAATCTTTAAAAAATAATAATAAAAATAAATAAATAAATAAATTTTTAAAAATGTGTGTTATGGCCAAGATATATTTTGGAGGAAAGAAGAGAGTGGGCAAAATGGTATTTAGTTCTTTATTTTTTAAGTTGATATCAAAGGCAGCAACTTATCTGATAATAAGCTTTTGTACATAAGAGTAGAAGGAAATAAATGTTTCCTATTATGTGCCAAATTTATCTACCAGAAAAAAAAAGAAAACAAAAATTAAACCAAACAAATGGTTGGATGGCTCTTGTTCTATATCAAATCAAGAAACATGGACCTAAAGATATCGTCACAACATCCAAGCAGTTTCACCCTTACCCACAGTCCTGATCCTGTTGTGATTATGCAAACGATAGCCATGAAGACAAACAGGGGAGAAGGGTATTTGACAGTCATCCTTGATTCGGGAATAACTGAAATCAGCTGCAGAGATGATTCACAAAGACGTATGGTGCTTTATCAACACCTTCAGTAAGAACAAAGGAGTATTAACAATGACCTAAAGTACAAGTGTTCAGAAATGGATCGGCTACTCCACATGGCTTACAGCATCACCACAAACAGACTAATGTAGGCTTCGATTGTACAGCACAGCACTGAACATTGCCAAGGCTTTACAAGCTCTTAACTAAAAGGCCAAGGATTATAATTGGAGGGTGGAAATTGCGTGTAGGACACTCCTTGTTTGTGACTCAACACCATCCATTGTTAACATAGCCAGGTAAATAGTGCAGGCTCTAGAGCCAGAGTGCCTGTGTGAATCCTGGTTCTGCTACTTCCTATCTGTGTGAATTTCCTCTCTCTGGGTTTTGGTTACCTCATCTGTAAGATGAGAATATTTTTTTTTCACTATCACAATATATCATAAATATATTATTGCAAGAGTACTGGTATGTTCCAAATAAAATATATTTTAAACAAAGGAAAAGATATATTTGTAATATTTAGATATTTCAGAATATGAATATACATCTTCATTTAACTCTAGAGGATCCTTAAGTTTGGCTCCTGGGTAATATACTAACATCTATTCCCCATCCCCCATTCAGGAAGTCATACAAATATCCTATCAAATGTTGTGATTAATCACAATATTCAATAAAACGTAATCAATTAGACACATGGTTAAAAATTAAGGAATATGTATTTTTAAAGCTTTCCTTATTTTTTCTTTTCTTTTTAAAGATTTTATTTCTTTTTTGACAGAGAGAGACACAGCGAGAGAGGGAACACAAGCAGGGGGAGTGGGAGAGGGAGAAGCAGGCATCCAGCTGAGCAGGGAGCCCAAAGCGGGGCTCAATCCCAGGACCCTGGGATCATGACCTGAGCCAAAGGCAGATGCTTAACGACTGAGCCACCCAGATGCCCCAGAGCTTTCCTTATTTTTTCTGTAAGATGAGAATTTAATGGTACCTATACAGTTGTGGTAAGGATTAAATATGCTAATAGATGCCAACATATAATATGTACTGGATTATTAACCATGATTATTATTCTCATTGTAACTATAAGTACTACTATTATTATTACTACATTTTTTACTCCCCTTCCTAACACCAGTCTCTGGAGTTTCCTCTCTCAACCCCATCTTCCATTTTCTGCCTGGTGGGTACCAGGTGTGGAGCCTGATTGGCCTAAACCCATCAGCACATTTCACTTAACCCAAGTCAGAGAGAAACCTGGCCCTTGTGCAGGAAATCCTGAGACACACACTCTCCTCTCCACCGGGCTAGGTCACTGAAGAAGTGAAACTCACCTGGCTTGTGGCTGTGGATGTGCTGAGGATGGAGCCTTCCCAGAAGTGGCAGACCAAGAATGAATCCTAGTGGCAACAATAATAAGTCCTAGGTCAGTCAATCCCAAAGCCAGCTTCCCGGGAATGTTTGGTTACATGATTATAAATCTCTTTTAGCTTAAGCTAATTTGGATCTAATTTTGTTTCTTAGATCTTTTATATATTCATGACTACATTTATAGAGATGTTATTAATATATTTTTATTTAAAAGCAGAGAATTATTATTTGATGAGGTTTCTCTCAGAGTCTATACAAATGGGGGCTAAAGTGACTTGCATCTAGTTCTTAACCATGTATCTTAGTCCATTTGGACTGCTGTAACAGAATACCACAAATGTTATAAACAACAGGAATGTATTGCTCACACTCTTGGAGGCTGGGAAGTCCAAGATCAAGGTGCTGGCAGATTTGGTATCTGGAAACCTGCTTCCTGGTTCATGGACTGCTGTCTTCTCTCCTTGTCCTCACATGACAGAAAGGGCAAAGGAGGGTGCCTGGGTGGCTCAGTTGCTAAGCGTCTGCCTTCGGCTCAGATCATGAGCCCCGCATCAGGCTCCCTGCTCAGCGGGAAGCCTGCTTCTCCCTCTCCCACTCCCCCTGTTTGTGTTCCCTCTCTAGCTGTCTCTCTGTCAAATAAATAAATAAAATCTTTAAAAAAAAAAAAAAGAAAGAAAGAAAGGGCAAGGGAGCTCTCTGGAGCCTCTTTTATAAGGGCACTAATCCCATTCATGAGGGCTCCACCCTCATGACCTAATCACCTCCCAAAGGCCCCACTTCCTAATACCATCACATTGAGTTTCTACATGTGAATTTGGGGGGAACAAACATTCTGTTCATACTGAATGTAAACATGTAAATACAAAAGCCCGAATTTGAAGAGCAACTCAAATTATAATCACATGTGCCCGAAATGATACTCCGCATTTCACAGCTTTGTTAAACAAGTCATCTCTACATGCATTGTCTCAAATATCATGTGGCAGCTTATCCAAGATTTCCCCATTGCTCTTTCAGGCACTAGTCGGGGCTCTTCCAAGTGCAAGTAATGGAAATCCATCCCAAATTAATTTAAACCAAAAAGATAATGTAATGGTTCATTCAAAAGGGAAATCCAGGGCTCTGTTAGGAATCATTTGATCCAAGAGCTCAAATTTTGTGATCAGGAATCCGTTTTTCTCTCTTACAGCCATGTTTTTCTTTAGTATAATGGGAAAAGCATGAGCTCTAGAATCAGGCTGCCAGATTTAGAATCCCGGATCCACCACTTCCTACCTGTTTGACACTAAGCAAATCACCCGACTTCACTTAGCCTCAGTTTTTTATCATGAAAATGGAGGAAATAATAATATTCACCTCATAGGTTTGGGGAGAGGATTAAATGAGTTAAAATATATACTACTTGGAACACCTGGGTGGCTCAGTCAGTTAAGCATCCCACTCTTGATCTCAGCTCAGGTTTTGATCTCAGGGTTGTGAGTTTGAGCCCCACATTGGGCTCCATGCTGGGTGTGGAGCCTACCTAAAAAACAAAACAACAACAACAAAAAAAAAACTACTTTATCATCATCATTATGATCAGTATGGTAGGATCTTTCCACTTGGTGATCCTTAGTGAGAGTAATTCCAGGGGAGAAGAGCACCTATTTCCGGAGAGCAACAGCAAATGCCCCAGAGATCATTCTTATTTGCCAAACCTGGGTCAAGTACCCACTCCTATGCTAGAGGGTGCAATTAGCCTGAGCTGAACAGCTTGGACTGTAGGTAGACAGTAGAAGGAAAATTGGAGTGCCGTTCCCAAAAGAGGAAAGAGACCTTAGATCGGCAAAAGCAACAAACGTCCACTACAAGCCCAACTACACCATGATTATTCAAATAGTAAATAACAGTAACTGCATTTTACATAGTGAACAGCAGTACTCATGAAAAGGGCACAGCCTCTGAGCCTCATGGTAAAGAAAATTCCTTTATTGTTTAAAAAGTTGGATTTGATAATTATAAAAAGTCCCTCCCAGACTCAATGAGATTGAGGTTTGGAAGAATTTTGAGACATAATAAAAAATAAAAATACAACAGAAATAAATCTTTGAGCATCTACAGAATGGGCAGCAATTATCATGAAGTCTCCACATTTGAGATAACAAGTCAATGATGGTACCGAGCATTTGCTGTAATTGGAATTAGCCATGAATGCTTCAGAGATGTGCAGAGTGTTGGAGGATCACCTTCCTTTCAACATGAAAGAACAAAATAAAGCTTGGATAAAAGCTTGCATGTGTGAAATTTATAAAAACAAAACCATTTTACCAATTTTCTCATTATAAAGTCAGTAAAAATTATTTTATCATACAAAACTACAGTATAAAGAAGTTACCTTCAGACGTTCAGAGTAGAAAAAAAGATATACACCTCATAAAATCGATGACAATTTCTTCAGTTTTCCAAAAAGTGAGGGAAAGTACAAAATAACTTCCAAACATAATGTGATCGAAAACAAGAGAAGCAAATTAAAAACTGCTAACGTTGAAATACTCACAGTACTTTTAATAAGTCAGCACAATAGTGAATAGAAAATACACAAAAAAAGAAAATTTCATAAAACTGAATGGAAAATAAACACTTTGCAAGAATTCTCCATGTTGACAATAAGAAGGGAGTCTTTTCTAGGACACTCAACCTGAAAGCCATGCGTCCTTTCACATAATGATTCCTCCTACCTTCTGCCCTTGGTTGCTGGGATTACAATCACAGAAGACTCTGTCTTCCTCCCTTTATGCTGGGGGTTTTAATAGATTTGTTTGAAGCTGTTTTCTTTCTCCTCTCTCCCACTTATCCCCCTGGGATTTAGTTTCCAGATCTTTCCCCTCAGTCCCTGTCATGCACAAACACCAAATCTGAGATCCAACCTGAGGTCTCATGTAAGCCCTGGTAGTCTTTATATCTCTCTTTATTCTGATGCAGGTGATTTCTAGACAAAAATTAATTAGCAAATGGGCTGTTCAGGAAGTGTGATCAGACATATTACGTCCACAGAGTAGAGTTGCATTTCCCTCTGCATTTAGTGTCTCACCAACAAGGAGTTGGTCGGTAACCTGCAGGGTCTCAGATAGATTTCTTTGTGGGTTTAATCTGGTCAGAACAACCAAAACGCCTCCTTATATACATCAGAGTCCCATGTCCCCTGTCCTTCAACTCCTCAATCTTTGTGTTAATTTTTCATGTAACAACAATGCATCCTAAGTAGAGGGCAAATTTGGAGTTGTTTTTCTAGCAGAGATGAAGATTTACACCAATCTTTCTCACTTTCCCCGATAGATCCCACATGTAAAAAGGGCAATAAGTTGTGGCAGGGCCCTGAGCCCAAAGAAGTTCAGCCTGAGGCAGTGACACTGACGCTTTCCCACTCAGACAATAACCAATCCAACTACCTTAGGCATCTTGGACCCTATCACTAACAAGTTGAAATAATCATCAAAGATCTTTGTTTGACTCCAAGATGGCTATTTCCAAAACCTATTCCTGCTCCATGGCCTTGACAGAGAAACAACTCAGCACCCCCTCAACCTCATATTTGTCTGCCTTCCAAAACATACCTCTTCAATCTACAAAATCAGGAATCAATGGGAAATTTCTTTCCAAACTGTTAGCTATCTCCAGATTTTCCAGATTGGGGGGAACATGAAAGATCCCTAACCTCTGGGTTTCTATGGAGGGAGACCAAAAAAAAAATTTTTTAATAGATTATCCACAAGTCCAGGACAAAGCTTTATATTCAGAGTTAAATTATGCAATAGTGGGGGGCGGAGCAAGATGGCGGAGGAGTAGGAGACCTGGATTTCGTCTCCTCTCAGGAATTCAGCTGGATAGGGATCAAACCATTCTGAACACCTACAAACTCAACAGGAGATCGAAGAAAAGAAGAGCAACAACTGTCTCAGCAGAAAAGCGACCACTTTCTGGAAGGTAGGACGTGCGGAGAAGTGAATCCGAGGCGATATTCGGGAGGATAGACGGCGGGGGAGGGGCCTCCGTCGGCCGCTTCTGGCAAGTGATAGAGCCGCGGAGCACAAAATCGGAACTTTTAAAAGTCTGCTCCGCCGAGGGACGTCACTCTGGTGGCTAAGCGGGGGGTGGAACCCTCCGGGACAGTATGGTCTCAGGACCCTCGGGGTCACAGAAAGACCGGGGGTGCCTGAGGGCAGCAGAGCTCCCAGGTAACGGAGCCGGGAAGCCGGCTGCAGAGGCGGAGCCCAGGCGCGGGCTCTCAGCTGGGGTTGCCATTAACCGCGATCCGCGGCCCAGTCGGGCCCCTGCTCCTCCAGCAGGGACCCAACAAGCGGCCGATCCGGGGAGACTCACCTTCCTCCCCCGGGAGGAGCCGCGCGGGAGGGCACCGCAGGGATCTGCTGGGTTTGGAGACTCCACCCGGGGTCGGGTGCCAGAGAGAGAAACGCGCGGTCACAGGCCGGTTGAGCACGGAGTGCAGCTGCAGACCGGGGAGACGGGAGTGACTGACGGCTTTTCTCTGGGGGCTCACTGAGGAGCGGGCCCCGAGTTCTCGGCTCCTCCGGGGCGGAGATTGGGAGGCCGCCATTTTCACTCTCCGCCTCCAAAGCTGTACGGAAAGCTCACAGGGAACAAAAGCCCCGGAGAGCAAACCCGAGCAGATTACTTAGCCGGGAGGGGGCAAGGGCGGGGCTATTCCGCCTCCGGCAGAGACATTTGGAAACCACGGCAACAGGCCCCTCCCCAGAAGACCAGCGAGAACAGCCAGCCAAGACCAAGTTTACCGATCAATGAGAACAGCAGAACTCCAGCGCTAAGGGACTACTGCACATAGAATTCACGGCTTTTTTACCATGATTCCTTAGTCTTTTAAAGTTAATTTTTTTTTTAACTGTCTTTTTGTCTTTTTATTTCTTTTTGAATTTTTCTTTTTCCCTTTTTCAAACAACATCTTATCAATCCCTTTTTTTAAAAAAAAACATTTTTATTTTTCATTTTTAGAGTCATATTCTATCCCTTCATA